GGGGGGGGGGGGGTGGGTGCGACAGCAGAGTGGGTTACTGAAGTGAAGCTTCATTCTCTGTCCAAAGTAGAAGCTGCCCGGTGACCTGGGTCCTGTTCAAGTGTGGGGACTCCGCACTTTCCACAGGGGCTTTAGAACGCTTCCGGAATTTATCATATGCCCCTGCAGGCCCCACAGTGTCTTAGCTGGTAAACAGTGAGTCACATATGGGTGAAGCCAGGGACATTAATTTTCCATAGAAAAATGTGTTCTAGAATCACAAACTGCACCTTTAATCCTCTGCACGGCACTGGCCACAGGGAGGTGTGTGAAAACATCAGTTTTTTCATTCATTTGCCAAAACTCCTCACCTATTGGAAAAATAGCTCAGGGGACAGGGTAAGTAGATCTTTTTATAAAAGAAAATCTATTTTATGGATTGTAGCTACTTTCTCCTTATCTTAAACTTTAAACCTAATCTCTGGAATTCAAGAAAGAGACAATAGTAACAATAGCAACAATTTTTAAAAGAATGGAAAAAAGTTGCAAGCAAAGCAGGAAAAGATGCCATGCACAAAGGACTTCAGAAAGAAGAAAGGTTCAAAACAAGTCCATTTGAACAATGAGAACACCACAGAGACAACTATCAGGACCTCATTCATTCAGTAGTGTACATCTACCATGTACCAAAGACTGTAATAAACAATGAGGAAAGCAACAACCACAGTAACAGTAATAATAACACCTCACTGTCTTATTACAATCGACAGAGCATTTTAAATGGTGGTAGCTTGATTCGAAAAGGTATTATGTAGGTATTTTAAAGACACCAAGCTTAAAGCATAATTACTCAGTACTAATTCTGACCTTTTCAACAATACAGCTCCTCACCCACATCCACGGGGCTAACCTAAATGAATCTCCGCCTGCTACAATTTCAGCCAGTGACTGCCTGCATAGCACTGGCTCTTGGCCCACCATTTAGGTCCACATGCCTGAGGCTGGAATTCAGCAAGTTTCAACACAATAGTCTTCAACCTTGGTTGCACATTAGAAGCACCTAGATAGAGAGTTTAAAAAATTCCTAATGCCCAGGCTTTCCCCCAGACCATTTAAATTGGAATCTCTGAGAGTGGGCCCAGCCATCAATATTTTCTAAAACTCCCCAGATGATCCAACTGTGTAGTCAGGATGAGGTATAATTTATAGAAAGAGAAATACACAGATCTGGGGCGTACAGTTCAACGTGTTCTGACAAACTGCGGATCAACCACTGCACACGTGTATCAAGATACAGAACCTTCCGTCCCCTGCAGCGCGCTCTTGTGCCCTTCCAGCCAGTCCCTGCTACTCCCCACCGCCACGAGGCAACCACTGTTCCGACTTTTTCCTAGATTAGTTTTGCCTTTTCTAGAACCTCATATAAACAGTATCCTACAGTATATACTTGTCTGTGTTTGGCTTCCTTCACTCAGCAAAATGCTTCTGAGGTTCATCTATATTGTTGACTAGCAATAGTGCGTTCCTTTTCGTTGTGTGAATATACTTCAATTTGTTTGTTCATTCTCTTGTTGACAGCTGTTTGGGTTATTTCTAAATTTTGACTATGATGAATAAAGCTGCTATGGACATTCTTGTATAAGTCTTTTAGTGTAGGTATGTTCTCATTTCTCTTGGGCAAATACCTAAGAGCGGAATTTCTGGGTCATTAGGTAGGTGTTTAGTTTTGTGAGAAACTGCCAGACTGATTTCCAAAGTGGTTGTTTTACCAGAAAAGTATGAGAGTTCTGGATGTTCCACAGCCTGATGACATTTATCACTGTCAGTTTTTTTTTTTTTTAATTTTGGCCATTTTTGTGGGTATATAGTAATGTATCTTTATGGTTTTAATTCATATTTCCCTGATGACTACTGATGTTGAGCATGTCCATGTATTCTCTAGCCATTTATAGATCTTCACTATGAAATAAGTGCCTGTGCACATCTCTTGTCCCTTAAAAAAAAATATGGTTTGTCTGTCTTATTATCGAGTAGTAGGAAGAATTATTTATGTATTCTGGATAAAAGTTTTGCCAAATATACGTCCACTGAGTATCTTCTCAGTTTTGGCCAGCCTTTTCATTCTCTTAATGGTATCTTTTGAGAAACAGAAGTTTTAGATTTTGATAAAAGTCCAAGTTATCCATTTTTTCACTTATGGTCGGTATTTCCTGGGTCCTAAGAAATTTTCAACTATCACAAGATCACTAAGCTGCGTTCTCATAGAAGCTTTGTAGTTTTAGCTATTATACTGAATTCTGTGGCCTTACTGAGGTATCACCTAAGGGTTCAGCGTATTCAATGAGGTCCCTCCATTCCGGATAGGTGGGACTCCAATGTTTCCCAGCCTTGTAGGAGCCCTGGAATCCCATTCTTCTCACAGCAGAATGGTGGGGATTTTGCCCAGGCTTACAGACTCACACTCTGAACATGAGGAGCATGATATTCAGTCAAAGACTCAAGGTACTGCCTGGACAGTTTTCTGGAACTCCTTCTCTGCATAGCTCCTGTATGTCTGATACTGTGTGCTGCAAATTCCAGCCATTTCAGATGCTCTGAACTCTGATCTCAGTTTCCTCAGTTCCTCAAGACCAAGAATACCTCCTTGGGTTCCACATGGGCTCTGGCATGGGCCAGAAAGTGCCTCCATGCAATGAGTTGGGACAAACATCCTTTCTTTCCCTTCTGTCTGGGATCACAGTCTTTCACTGCCTAGTGTTCGCTGTCTGAAGAGAGTCATTTTACATATTTTATCCAAGTGCATAATTGTTTATGGTAGGAAAGCTGGTCCAATATCAGTTACTCATCAGGGTTGGAAGCAGATGTCCAGAGTTGGGTTTTAAAACCTCTAGTATGGCTCCATAATCTTATATTTTATTGGCTCATCTTTAAAAAAAAATGGTGACCTCATATAGTTATTTGATTTATTAAAGATTAGGTTTTTTTTCTCCTCAGTTAATTCAACCCCGGGATTAGACACGGTACTTGTGGCAGAGCAGTTCTTCTCATGTCTTAATCACTTAGGACTGGCCTTTTTTCCCTGTGGCCTGCTGTAAGGAAGGTGATGAATAAATATTTGTTGAATAAAAAAATTAAACCAAACTGATCATACAAAGAAAATCCCATAAGCCTGGCTAACCAATAAGTGAAACAGTTTCGCAGGTACTTTTCATGAAGTTGATGAATTACACTCATACTTTACAGGGTTCTGTACATTATCTGTTATGATTTATATAATGCATGAAGGATAAAAGTATAAGAGACCTGGCTCCTGGCCTCAAGGACTGAATAATCCAATAGCAAAAATAGAGGAATATGATGTCAGTGCTGAGGAAGAGGCTCAATCCTGGTGGGCTGATGGTTTCAAGAAAAGTTGAACTTGATCTCTAAGGCCCAGCATGATCTGGCCTTGCTTTCGCCCCAGCCTCTCGTCTGCATTCCTTGACCTCCATGCTTCAGCTATCTAGTTTTCCTTCACTTCCATGGACGCACCATGCTGCTTCCGACCTCAGGCATTTGCACAGACAGCTTGCCACTCTTAGTCTAGCTAACTCCCACTCATCCTTCAGGACTTACCTTCCTCAGGAAGTCTAGTCTAGGTCAGGCCTACCTGTTTATTACACGTGTTTATTACAATTTAATTGTTTATGAAATTAGTTGTTATTGACCATGTGCCCCACTAGACCATAAGCTCCATGTAGGGGAGAGGGAACATCATCTGTCTTGTTCCCCAGTCCCTAGCACATTGGAGGCCTTAAATAAATATTTAATGAACGAGTAAGTAATAGAATAACTGAACAAACAAATGGGAGGAATTGCATTGGGTCATAGACAGTAGGTAGGATTTGGGCAAGCAAAAATTTCAGGCAACTAATAAATGGTAGAGCTTAGATCCAAAGCAAGGTCTGTCTGGGCCCTGAGAGGAGTTCATAATACTCTCCAGTGACAGTCTGAATTATTCTTCCTGACTATGCACTGCCTCCCTCTAATAGAATTATAGGTCCTTGCCCTTTGCCATATGACTTTGCAGGACCTCCCACTAGGAAGGCAGAGTATATGACCAACCCCATTGACTTTGGGCTTTACATTGGCGATGGAGATGGAGGACAGTGTGCTGTGCCATTGTTGAGCTGAGACTTTAACAGGTATGACAAGTTCTTACCAACTCTTTTACACTTCCAACTTACATCATAAGAAGAGCACAACCCAGATGACTGCTGCTCCCTGAGCCTAGATTTTGAAATAATGACATATAGAGCAGACTGGAACCTGACTTGAAGCCTAGAGCCTAGCCTAGCCCAGCAGCTAAGCCACAGCCAACCTGCAGACTTGTGAGTGTGAAATAACTGTTTATGACTGTAAGCCACTGAGATGCTGGGATTGTGTGGCATGCAATACCATCACAGCAGAAACCTAACATGCCTCTTCAATGACAGGATTGTAACTTATTCCTATTTCTTTTGGCTTCTAGCACCCAGCTGGGCACACAGTGGGTGCTCAATTAATACTGTTGAATTAAACCAAATAAATGACATTCCTTGGGTACCCTGGTGAAATGGACAAAACTGTCAGAGTTGCTTCTAAAGCAAAGACTTCTAAAATGAATGAATCTAATGCTGAGTGACTAAACAGAGAAACTTTGAGAAAGTAGGCTTTTTTAGTTAGTGCTGAGAGGCTCTTGTGGCACTTTAAGTATAAGCAGATGCTTCGGAGACACCTAATCTAACCTCTGTCAGACAAATTAATTAAGCATGCAAGATGCAAAATCTCTTTTGCTGGATGATCCCCAAAAAACTGGCAAGATCGTGACTCAAATGAGCTGGAGGACATGTCTCTTATATCTAGTGGTTTTTAAAGCAAGTCACGCAACTCAAAAACAGGAGGCAACTAGAGTAAAATGGTAAATATTTAGCCTGATCTTTCTTCTGCAGACTTAAACTCAATTTAATTTCATAAACCTGTACTAAGTAACTATCAAGTGATTCTAGTAATGAGGGAAAAATAACATTCTACATCTGAGCCACCATAAATCCCTTTGGGACAAGGAAGGATATAAAAATGTACATACCCCCAAATTCCTTAACTTAAACTCAGATAATGCTTCGCAACTTCCAAAACATTTTTACATACAGTCTTCATTTCATTTTCACAATAACATACGAGATTTTGTTTTGTTTTTCAATCCCCATCTCTGAGATGAGGAAACAGAGGCTCAGCCAATAGGGCCTGGCAGTAAATGACAGATGTCTAACTCTCTTTCACCAATACCATAGGGCCTCATTCGCCAAGACTCCAACACTGAAAGATATAGGAGAAAACCTCTGACATTCCCCAACACCATCAACGTACCACTCCGGGGAATATTTTCTGGAGCCGGTCTGCTGCAGCCAGGGCCTTGGGCTTCCCACCTGCTAAGCAATCTTCAAATTCGTAGAGAGGCTGCCTCACAGGATTGGAGTAGGAGATCTTGGCATTGTCTACAAATGTGATGTGTCTGACGCCCCAGCCCTGCATGGAAACAGGAGATCATGGTGTGTTTCTGATGAACGTTCTGATGAACACTTCACAGGGCACCTCTCTTGAAATCCCTAAAAGGGGTTTACTTTGGAGATCAGGTGCGGAACTTAAAAATACAGAACATTTCAGCAATTAAATCGTGCAAATTCAGTTTTTAATAAATAGAATGTCAACTTCCTTTGAAAGACAAATAATTATATACCCAGTGCATGGTTTCCTGCAGTAATGAAACTAGGAAATGTCAGAGTGGGTCTGACTAACAATTCACTATTTTTGACAGTGGCACCAGAAAAAGATTTGAAAATTAGTCCCATAAGAATTGTCTATGTTGCTGTCTTAAAGGGATTAGCAATAGCCCCCAAATGTCTTGTTTCCCTTTAATGAATAATTAAGTATAAACAACAGCTCATCTTAAAACTCACTTAAAGCCTGAATTAACTCCTCAGAAAAATGTCTTACAAGTTATTTCCCACCATATAATATTGTAGAAGAGTTTGTACTATTTCTCCAAGAGGCAAAAGCTTTATTAATATTCTGGAATGTAGGGGATGATTCTATATTCTCAGAAATAGTTTTCACACACTTCAATTACATCTCCCATAAAGGCTTATAGAACCACACAATTTTAAAGTTAGATGGGATCTCTAAAATCCTTGGTCCAATTACTTTGTTTTGCAGATGTAGAAACTGAATCTCAGAAAAGATAAGTGAGATAAGACTCACTTGAGGTCATAGATCTGCTTAACAGTGGGGAGAGAAGGAGATCCCAAGAGTTGCAACCAAATGAAGATGCCCACTTTTTAGGGGATAAGGTGGGGTCTGTATATTTCAGTAGATGATAAATAAGCATAGTGATTTAAGAGAAGCTCTGTCATGACTGGAGACAGAGCTAAGATTCTGCTCTCTCTCTTATTTCAATATCCTTCCATTAGGGACTCTGAACTCAGTTAGACTGATGATTTCAGGGGGACAGTCAACAAGAACCCAAGATTCGTTTTCAGGGTTGAGAATGACAGGCCAGAATCCACCCTTTCAAAAGCATAGTTTAGATTGGCTGTTTGTTTTGAAGCTCACTGGTAACTTTTGGTCTACTCACCCAGTTTTATAAGTGACTTTCACCAGCTAAGCAATATACCATGGAGTGGGAAGAATGGCATGGAAAATCCAAAAGTCACTTGTGCTTGGTTTGGGAATATTTATTTCTGAAGCATTTTTATATTCCTGAAAGCAATGAAGGCTGTCTGGGAACACGCTGGGCAGTGGGAAGGAGGCCAGATAAAGTACAAACACGCCACAGCTTAGCCACATGCAGGTGGATTTCCACACACAACTTTTGGCTTCCTGGAATGCTACACAGTTTAAATGGCTAATCCAAAGAGTAAAGAAAATTACAATACTCAATGCTGGTGAGGATGTGGTGGTGAAAAAGCCATTTTACTGGCTGAGAATGTAAACTGGCGTAATTCCTCTGGAAAGCAATTTGGCAATATGTTTCTAGAATTTTTTAAAATATTCAGATCCTTTGACCTACTTCCAGCAATCCATCCTAGGAAACAATCTGAAATATTGACAAAAATGCAATCACAAAAATGTTCTCTGCAACCTAATTTATTGTTGTAAAAAATTGGAAACAATGTTAAAACTTAACATCGGGGAATGTCTCAGTAAATTATGTTTTATCATACAAGAAGGCATATTTTACAGCCATTAAAAAGGCTTTATAGGCATCCTTTTTAATGACATGAGAAGTGTTTACAATGTTAATTGATAAAAGCAAGGGACATTTTTATATATCAAATAACATTTTTAAAATATACATTAAACAAACAGCGAAAGGAAATAAGTGAAAAAGTAGGAAATGGGTGTGCTTTTTTCCTGCTTTCTAACTTTTACACTTTATAAATCTTCTACAGAGGGTCTATACTGACTTTATACTTTTTAAAGTATGTTAAGAAAACCTAAGCACCTAATTCTAGAAGCTGTAAAAAGAACAATAAAATAAATTCCACAAAACTTCTTCTACAAAAGAGGAAGAAATTAACAGATAAAAGTAGATATTAATGAATCTGAAAGCAAAACAAAATAAAATAAAAAAGTTACAGAACTAATAAATTAATCAAAGATTTAGTTCTCTCAAAAGACTAATAAAATAGGCCTCTCTGGCAAGTCTGAATAAGAGAAAAAAAGAGAAAACATAAATTTATACAACATTAGGAAAGAGGAAAGGTTAAAAAGAAGATAAAGAAAGATGGTCCTGTGGCCTAGTGGTTAAAGTTCTGCCCACTCTGCTTTGGTGGCCCAGGGTTCACAGGTTTGGATCCTGGGTGTGGACCTACTCCGCTTATCAGCCATGCTGTTGAGGCATCCCACATACAAAGTGGAGGAAGACTGGCACAGATGTTAGATGAGGGCTAATCTTCCTCACCAAAAAAAGAGAGAGAGAGAGAGAGAGATAAAGAGATTTAAAAGAGAAGAGAATATCACATGTATTTTATGTCAATTAATTTTTAAATTTAGGTGAAATGGATTATTTTCTAGGAAAACAACATGACTAAACTGACTGAAAAGCAGTATAAAATCTAGAAAGGTCAATCAGTATAGAAACATTTGTAAAAAGTTTCTAAACATTCCTTGCTCCCATCACCAACAAAATTCCAAAAGGCACCAGACCCAGTTGGATTTATAACTGAATTTTACCAAATCATCAAGGAACAGATAAATTATATACTTAAACTATCCTGGAACAGAGAAAAGGGCAGAAAGCTTTATTTTATAAAGCTAGCATAATTCAGCTATAAGATACAGAGAGACACTACGAAGAAAAACATTATTATATACCAACCTGACTTATGAATAGATGTAAACCTTAGAAATAAAACATTACCAGTTGAATCTCATAGTATATTAGAAGAATAACAACCATGAACAAATAGGGTTTTTTCTAGGAGTGCTCAGCATTAGAATACTTTGATTATCTTGATAGATGTATTTGATAAGGCTCAACAATCATTTCCAATACAAACTCATAGTAAGCTAGAAATAGACATCCACTTTCTTAACTTGTAAAAGAGCATTTCAGAAACCAATATCACATATCAAAATTAAAAGTAAAACAAGAAGTTTCTCTTTAAAGTCAGTAACAAAACGAAGATGCCAACTGTCACTGCTCTTCCTCAACATTACTATGGAGTCCTAGCCAATCCTATAAGATAAGGAAAAAAGATACGAACATTGGCGTGGAATACTTATCAACCTACAAAATTTAAACGAATCAAATGAAAATCTATGGTAACTAAGAGAGTTTAGAAAGATGGCCAGATAGAAGATAGACATTCAAAACTCACTATCTTTCCTATATCCCAGTAATAGTCAACTGGAAAATTCAGCAGGAAAAAATATCTTTAAAAGAAAAAAATCATTAAATATGTAAAAATAAACTAAGTAAGACACATGCAAGACTTACATAAAGAAAATACGACCAAAAGACAAAGACGATCTAAATAATTTAAGAGATATATCATGTTTCTGGAACTAGGGATCAATATTGTAAAGATGTTAACCTGAATTAAAACTGAGTATGAATGCAGGAATGAACAAACGAAACAATGGAACAAAACAGAGAATCCAGAGACTCAGGGTCATAAGGGGACTTAGTTTTTGATAAAGGTAGAAAAATGATGATTTGTATTATTGATTGCATGCCATTAAAACAAATGACTTTCCAAAAACTTTGTGGAAAAGAACTTAGATCTTTATCTCTCATCATATAACAAAAACAAATTCCACATTGATAAGGATCTAAACATAAAATCGAGTTCTGTATGTAAACCACAAAGGAAAAGATTGACATATTTAATAACATACAATTTTAAAAATTTCTATATGGCTAAAGATACCTTAAATAAACTGAGAAAAATATTTGCATCACATTACAGAAAAAAGGTTAATACCCATCAAAAAGGACTCCAAGTCAATAAAAGAAACACAACCCAAAGGACATGAATAGAAGAAATAAAATTCACAAGAGAAATAAAATTAAAGACTCACATTCACTAATTAAAGAAATTCAAATTACAAAGCTCTGTTTCTCACATGCTTCTAGGAGTACAGACTAGCATATGTTTTTGGAAAGTAATTTAGTTTGGGGAAAAAATATCTGTCTATGTACGTATATAAAGATTGTACATTCTCTCTAACACAGTAATTCTATTTCTAGGGCTTTTTTCCTAAAGAAATAATCCCATGGATATGTAAAGATAAAAGTGTAAGATTGTTAATTTCAACAGCATCTCTAAAGAAAAATATGCTGAAATTGATTAAATAAATTGAGGACATAGTTATACAACAAAAAACTACATATACATAATATGGACTACAGAGAAAGAGAGTCACAATTATTTTTCTATTAAGTTAAAAATAAAAACCTGTTATGGACAGTATGCTATGATCCAATTTTCATAAATATAAGTAAATAAATAACAGCAAAGACAACAAACATCTCTCTGTACTGGCAGACGCCTGCAGACTTCAGGGCAGCAAGCTGCATACTAACCTACGAAGTCTGCTTAGTTCTGGGAAGCGGGACTTGGGATGGGAGTGGAGAGAGATTTTCTGTTTCTACCTTGTAACAAAACCATGTATTCCTTTCATAATTAAACAGATACTGAGAAAATAAAAAAGGAAGGGAGAGAGGAAGGGAAGAAGGAAGGGAGGGAGGGAGAGAGTAGAGGGGAATCTGAGAGATGGAAGGCATGCAGGGATAGTAAAATAAGAAGAGAAGCCACAGCTTCAAAGGAATCATTGGGCCGCCACAAACTTACCATTAGTGTCCGAGCTACATTACAACCCAAGGTGCCGGCTCCAAGCAGCAGACACTTGGCAGACACTACTTTGTCTAAGTCCAAAGTAGGGACCAACCTCCAACACATCAATTTGAGATTTAGATCCACTGATGACTCTGCTAACCTAGAAAATAAGAGAATTATTGTTTACTAATTTAGTCACTCACGTATGCCTCATTCTTGTCCTTTTCAGATATAAAGTAGCTGTACAAGAAAACAAGAACCTAATACTAAGGAAATTGAGAACAAAAGGAAAATAAGATGAAGCTTAAGGGTAAACGGGGAGGAGAAAGGTTACCACATAGAACACATGCCATTGTAGTCCTCTGTAACTGCTAGCGATAGGCCACAAATTTGATACTGAGCTCCTAGAAGCCAAGGTGAAAAGGGAAGCATGACCAGCTATAGGAGTCATTGTGTCCCGGAATAGAAACACATCAGCTGCTTAAGAAGAAAGTTTTTCCTAATACTGAAAACAGAAATTTCTTCCATGTCCCCTCAGTAAAGGGTGCACTTACATCCTCCTTTAAATACTGGTTTCCATGAACTATTTCTTATAACGTCCTTCAATGTAGGCTAATAAGACAAAATTAAAGGGCAATGAATAAAGGACTAAAAGATGCAGGTATACAGGTCTGAGAGTCTGAGCTTGAAGCCAGAAAAACATTTAGAACGTCTACAGGAACAGACGAACTGTGTGCCCTTCAGGATGTCCATCATTAACATCAATTCTCACTACCAAACTTAAATTGAGAGTTGGGCAGCAAAGAGTGGAAGAACACCGGTTGTCAACGTGAGCGCCACCCCTTGCAGTGAACTGGGCAAAGCAGTTGGCCTGACAGAACCCGGGGTGCGTCCTGGTTACAGAAAGCCCCACTGGAGAGAACAGCCTCCATAATATACCTTTTAGGGTCCATACATTCACTGAGGTTCACCATCCTCGGTCCCATGCCTCCTTTCTGGTTCTTTTCCCATCCAACTGCTTTGGGACAATCTTAAGGCAAATAAGACAGTAAGTTTAAGGAAAGAGGGAAGAATAAAAACAAAAAGGTCAGGCAGCAAGCTTGCCCTTAAAAGACCGTTCACAATGCATGCATTGGAGAGCTTCTACTTCACCTCCACCTCACAGAGGTTCCTGCCCCTGAATTTGCATCTACTCGCCGCAGTTGCCGCCCCGTCTTGCTCGGCTGCTGGGAATCCTGCTAGACGCCAGCAGACCCAGGCACAGTATTCCTGTGGAGGGGCTTTTGAAACAGCCCCCAACTCCAGCCCGAATTGCCTCAACTTCTGCAGTTACTGGAAGTGGCTCAAAAAAAGACGATCGTATGTGGGGTAGGCATAAGCCTGCAGAAGCTCTCTATCTGAGGAAGACAAGCCAGCGTGACCGCAGCACACCTTCCTGACGTTCCCATCGGGATGTCTGTGAACCTCTACATTCAGTACATCCCTTCTGTTCCTCATCCTTGCCATGTCCCTCTGCTCAGCCTCTCAGCTCTGTCACTGCACCTACGCATGTGCAGATCATTCCAGGGGGACTGTGCCTAGGCTAGGCTGTCTTCTCCTTCAAGCTCTCCCTCATCCACTCAGGCTTTCTCCTTCCCTGACTTAGCTCTTGTCCGCTGAACTCTTTTAGCCTCAGCTATGGGAGCCTCTGTAACTCCATTCCAGCATTCCTCAACGTGTGCCCTGTGCCAAGCTCTGAGAGGATAAGGATCCCATGGCTAATTAAGGCTTGGGAAATGCTTCTAGACCCATCTCCATCTTCTCTGTCCACACCTATCACCACGCAAACCTGGAGACTCTCGTCACACGTGAGACAGGTAAAAAAGCTGAGAAGGGGCTGGCCCCGTGGCCGAGTGGTTAAGTTCGTGCGCTCCGCTGCAGGCGGCCCAGTGTTTCGTTGGTTCCAATCCTGGGCGCGGACATGGCACTGCTCATCAAACCACGCTGAGGCAGCGTCCCACGTGCCACAACTAGAAGGACCCACAACGAAGAATATACAACTATGTACCAGGGGGCTTTGGGGAGAAAAAGGAAAAAAATAAAATCTTTAAAAAAAAAAAAAAAAAAGCTGAGAAGCCTGCAGTAATGAACCACTTTATGTGATTTGGTTTTGTGTTTCCCAAATTGACCTGGCTCTCCCTGTCTCCCTCCCTCACCCTGTAACACCAATTCAAATCTCACGGGACACAGTCAGGAATATGCCGCTCTATTCTATGGTTGCAAAATCCTCCTAAAAGTCTCAATTGCTTTGTAGAATGCTCCTGCTACCTCCTCACCGTAATGGAAACCTGGCTTCCTTGATGGAAACCTGACTTTGTAAATCCTGCTAATGAAGGCCATCCACCCTCTTACACTCCCCACATCTCAGGACCTCAGTTGTTCTTCTTTCTCACTGAATCCCTGAAATTCATAAGAAAGCCTCAACTCCTTAGCAGGGAACTCACCAAGCCACAGCCTGCCAGGCTAGCACCCCTCCAACGTCTGTCTTAAGTAAGTCTCTGAAGGAACAGCAATGCCTTGACCTAAGGTTAAGACATACAAGACTATTGGGAGGAATTTTACATTTGTTTCTAATTGTACGCTGGTGCTCTTGGACCAATCTCCTACTTTTAGATTTCTATCAACACCTCTATTTTCCTTTCCCTGGGAACTTTTTAGCTTTTGACTTTTGTCTTTTAAAATAGTATTGCTCAACGTAATTATGGGAACTAGAAGCTGTAGAAATTCCTTCACACAATCTTTGTTTTTCTGAAGAAGATTAGCCCTGAGCTAACATCGGCTGCCAATCTTGTTCTTTTTTTGTATGTGAGCTGTTGCCATGGCATGGCCACAGACAGAGAAGTGGTGTAGGTCTGCGCCCGGGAACTGAACTTGAGCCGCCAAAGCAGAGTACATCAAACTTAACCACTCGGCCACCCAGCCTGGCCCTACACAATCTTTTCTTTCTGGCATAGGATGATCAATAGGAAACCATGGTGCCAATGATCCTCGAAAGCTACATAGGCCCCAATTTGGCTGGGGCATCATTCACCTCAGGAAGCCAGAAAACAAATGTCTCCTCTCATTCTAACTCAGGCACTCCAGTGTGGTCCTGTTTTTAATATTGGAAAAATGAAAACTGACACAATAGATTTGAGTTCTTAAAGAGATTAAGACTTCAAAATTTTTTTCCTGGGGAAAAAAAGAGTTCAGATCTATTACTAATTAATATTTTGTTTGATTTCCTTGCTATTCTTACATTAAATAAACACTGCTTCTCTAATACGTAGCACAGAAACTTGACAAGAACTTCAGAACCACAGTCTAGTACCGTAATGAAAAACTCCAGCCTAAGCTATCTCCTGTTACAGATAAGAAATAAGACAAAAACAAAGTATCATTTCAAACTAAAACATCTCTGTATGTTTTAATTTTAAACACTCAAAATGTTACAGCCATTTCTAAGAAAATTAGATGTAATTTAAACTTACTACTAACAAAAAAATACTATATAGGACAATAATATTTAATCTATCATATCTGCCTCCATAGAAGTTATATCCATCCATAAGACAGACCTGAAATTAATAAAATATTTTTTAGGGGAAAATGAGGTCCTGTCTTCCGACAGTTGGGTAACCAGTAGCAGCACATCAAGGACAGAAATTAAAATGAGGGATCGCCCATTCCTGCAGCACCTGCTGCTTCCTTCAGCCAGCTGCTGGAACACTCTTTGTATCAGCAGTGAAGAGTGGGCTTGCCTGCACCATGAGGAGCAAAAGAAGATATACGATATTTAAAGTTATACTTTGATACCATTACCATCTCAACTATGGGATGCCTTAGAAATACTAAAAAGTACTACCATACTAATACTTTCAGTTCACATTATGATACAAAATAATTCTTTATAAAGTTTTATTTACAGCTAAGAGGGAAAACATTAAATGGAAGAAAAAAAAAGAAAATCTGACTTTCCTAAATTAAATAATCCACACTCGATATCAAGCATAGAGAAGACGTTTTGAAGGCGCTATTGGACTCTTCTTCAAGTGAAAATGGACAGTCTTTCCTGGGTTTGCCAGTGTCACCAAGCATCAGCCATATCATTGGTATCAGGGAGTAGGAGTAATTCAGCAACTTTATCATAAAAATGGAAAGAAAACTCTCTCCTCCACAGTGTGGCTGGCAGGATTAAGTGAGCAGCGTATGGAAGGTCCCTGGTGGACTGCTAGGCATAGACCAGGCACAAGTTACTTGTTAGTTAACTCGCACCTCATTCCCTTAGAACTATCTTCAAGTTGTAGCTTAATAAAACAAAGGTATGTTACGTAAGTTACATCATCTGGAAGCTATTTTAGAATGTGCCAGAAGAGGGTGCTAAATCAAACACTAATATCTAAAGACAGTAGAGAGGCAACAGATTTCTTATGGCTCTCCCCTAACAAGTTACAGCTTTCTCCTCTGCCTGACCAAGCAGTCCTCTGTCAAACTTTCTGAGAAGTTTATTTAAGATATTTAATCGTATTTAAGTTTATTTAAGATATTTCTCAGTGCTGTGGCAAAGAATTACTGATAAAACGTCATCAGAGCCAAACCTGAACCCTTTTGACTTCTGTACTCTAGAAATAACATCTCAGAAGAGATTTCAATACTCCCCTGAACATACACACACACTTTAAGGCATATGACGCATGGGTTAGAGAGAGCAACATGCCTTGGAACCATGTGGATGTTGTGAGGAGCAGATTAAATAACGTATGTGGAAGGACTCTGGAAGGACTCAGATCTCTGGAAAGTCATCGACATCTGAGGGATCATTTTGGAAAGAGTGCTGAGCTTTGGGTGAGATAGGAAATTAACATGACTTAGCATTTATTAAGCACCTATAATATGCCAAACATTGTGTTCTGTCGTTTACGCAGGACACAGATTCCTCATAAGGGATACTCCATGAGGTGGGTATTATTATCTTTGTTTTACTCAACCTTGAGTATGTATTCTGTTTCTGTGATAGGTATATAAATATAAATAAATGTATGTACACATACGCATACATACACATACACACACACACACACACACACACATATCCATATATATAAAATGTGTGTGAGCATTAAGTTTCCTAATCTATGAAACAGGAATAACAGCTGACGTCTACCACGCGGGATCAAACGTGGAGGGGGAAATAGGACTTTTGCTGCCTGGTTTACTGTATGGAGAATAGATCACATATAACTTTAAGCATGCAACAAATAAACATGTAAGTGCATTAATACCTCATTCTTCCTTTAAGAAGGGTCAGGAATAAAGATTTGTGTTAATCAAAAACAAAAACTAGGGAAAAAAACTCCTCAAGATTGAACAAAATTGCCTGGAGGAAATTTCCTGAGGACAGTCCTTGCCTTTGTTCCTGAGTGAATAGCAGAGCATGCCCTCTGTTCCAGGGAAGTGTTCGCATTGGCAAAGAGGTAGGAGTTATACTTTTTTCTCCCTCCTGCTGCCATTGTGAGGCATGAAAGGAAAGTTAAACCTGATTTGGTTTCTGATAAGTGATAATTATACGCATTCTCAAAGACCAGCAAATTACCTGGGCTAAATGCCATTTCTGGAAGCTTCACTTCGAAGATGATGCTGTGGGCGACATCTCTCACACCCTGCATGGTGCGGTCCCGGAAGCAGAGGACTTCGACGGACTGGAAACTGCTACTCCTGTTGTCAGACCCCGGATTTTTATTTAATTATTATTAATTTTTTTTAAGAAAGGAAAAAAAGAGCTCATAAAAGAGCTTCAGCAAATCCAGTTGGAGAGAATTCAATTCACTGTAATTATGCCTTCCTGACACCCTTGGGAGCTGGCCTTAACCTTTGAGAGATCTGAATACATCCAAGTATGCTTTCGTTAAAGCATTTAAAGGCTGAAGGCTGAACTGGCTGTATGTCTTTCTAGGTGAATTTTATGTAACAATCATAATGCACATAAGTAATTCTGACAAATGAATCTTAAATACAGAAAGAAAAAAAAAAGCTCACAAGACATTAAAAAGAACCTCTAAGGCATGCATGGGTTCTTCTGGTCCCCTTCTCCCCATCCGAACTTACATTCTATGAGACAGCACGTCAGTCAGTAGTTAGGAAGCCCATTTGCCCGATACAGACTGACCACCTGGATAAGTAAGTACAATCATTCTCCCTCTGCGGACAATCTATAATTCAGCGATCTTCGTCTTTTTTTTAAATAAACATTTTTATTTAAGTAAAGCACATACAAAGACAAGTTACACAAATCCTAACTATAAAGGAGCTTGTTTCATGCCTCCTCCCAGTCATTAACCACCCCCTTCAAAAGTAACTACCACTCAGTCCATACATGGGTTTTGCCTGTCTTGACCTTTACATAGATGGAATCACAGACTATATATTCTTTTAGGTCCAGCTTATTTCACTCAACATTACATTTTTTAAATTTATCCATGTTGATACACGTATCAGTAGTTCATTCAGATTCACTACAACATTGCCTCCCATTGCAATGAGTACACCACAATTTATTATCTATTTCATTGTTGAAGGACATCTGGATTATTCCCAGTGTTTGGGTCTTAAGAATATTGCTTCTATAAACATTCCTGTGCATGTGTTCTGCGTGTATCTGAGTCTGTCATTCTCCCTGACAGTGGAATCACTGAGCTATAGATATTTTTTACTTTGCTAGATACTGACAGTTTTCCAGCCGCGTTTGAGATTTCTAGTTGCTCTCCTCTTTGACAACACTTGGTATGGTCATTTTTTTGAGTCATTCTGGTGGATATGTAGCAGTATCTCACTATTGTACCTCATCTATTAATGAGTAGTATCTCATAATATTTTATGACCTTGATGACTAATGATGTTGAACATATTTTCAAATGTATATTGGCCTGTTAGATACCCTGTTTTAATTACTTCAGGGTTAAGAAAAAAGGAGGCTGGTGGCAACAGGAAAATCCTATCAGAGAGCGACTCAGACAGCTGAAGGGAGGGCTGGAGAATTTCAGGGTTGGGACCCCTGACTCCTCGCCCTGCCGTACTCTCAGATATCTTTACTATGGCATGGTCAGTCTGCAGCTCCATGCTAGTCCTGCTTAGGGACTCACTATTAATGGTAATTGATCATGACTAATTTATTGATGTATTATCTGGTTTCTATGCCAAAAACGAAAAAATGCATTTGGGAAAACAGAGATACAAATATAGGCAGACAGTGTCAAAAACATATAGACAAAGGCAAACAAACAGACACACACACACACATAAATACCATCTGTGGGCTGCTAGCACCAAAAAATTCCTCAAAGGCCATCCGGGGTACTGGGCTAAGTTACAGGGATCATACACACCAACTGTTACCTGCGAACAGAGAAGACTTTCTGAGTGAGTCAAGTATCATGTCACATTCACAATACACACATCACTGATACTTCCACTTCCCTCTTTACGCTGTTTTGCAAAAGCATTAACAAGCAGACACCTGGTGAAGGGCTAGAGGGAAGAGCAGAAAGCAAAAGGACCTCACACACCAGATGACAGAACTTCTTGATGGCAGGAGCTGTCAAATTCTCTGCACTCCCTGCACCTCGCATTGGGCCTGACAGAGTAGGAACTAGATACATTTAGAAGAAAGAAAGATTGCAAAGAAGATAGAGAGGGAGGGAAGACAGTCAACTGTCAAGGCTCATGCAGAGAAAATCCTCTCTTAAAGAGACATAATCTGTGAAAACTGCTAATTTTTATGTAATGAGAAAAATCAAAGGTGGCCCATTACCATCGTAAGTCTATAGTCAGATGAAATTAAAAAGCCAGATGCCCGTGACATTGCTAACTTCTATTTCCTTCCACCTCTTCCTCTCCAACTCCCTCAACCCTGGCCTCTGTCTGGAAAACTCAAACTCAAATATCATTTCTTCTGTGAAGACTTCGCTTGGTGGAACTAGCCATTCTGCCCTCTCTACTTTCACAGCTCTTCATACATGAGACATAACAGTTTTTACTTTTTCTGTCTCCTTTCTCTCAAAAGACAATGAGCACCCAACACCTACATCTTGATTTTTAAATACCACTTTCCAAAAAAGGAATCATGGCTTCTTGGACACAGGCCTAATTCTAGGGCTGAAGCAGGGAAAATACAAGATGAGCCTGGAGTATCTTGTATACCTGAAAGTAAGGAAGCCTTCAGTAAACAAAAAGATGGGGGCACGTCAAGGGGACACCAGAGCCAAGTGAAAGAGCTTCAATACCCATGATTCAGATAAAAAAAAACAAAACAAAACTGAGTCCTGGAGGAGTTGACTAATTTGCCCTAGGGCGCTCATTTAGTAAGGGACAGCACTGAGTAGTCTCTGCCAGCTCTACTTTTGAAAGTTCCCTAGATGCTCATGTTTTATCTCCTTGTGGAAAAGGAAACTACAAATAAAGGTATCCTGTGTTTCCTGAAAGGATGACCATACATATGAATCTGTGTTGAATTAAATATGAATCTATCTGTTACAAATGGTAACTCTAACAACATAAATAAATCAACTCTGTTGTAGTAACTTCACTGACCTCTTTGTTCAGATCAATATAGCACCATTACATATTTATCTATCTTCAGTTTCAAGATTATCTTTTCTTAACTGGCAGAGAAAAAAAGGGGATAAGTTCTAGTTTACCAGATATTCTCTGGGTCTAGGTGTTATAATCTGTAAATGTAGGTGATATTTAAATTATATAAATTAGAATGTTATATTAGATACTACAAGTGGATGTCTAATTTCAAAGAATGAGCATACTTCTGACACTAAATACAAAGGCAATGAGGTAGGAAGGTAATAAGAAAAAAAAATCTTTTTTTGAGCAGGAAAGACCAGGAGTAAGTTTCTCAGAGCAGCCTGACCTAAGATGAGCTATACAGCAGGAATGAACTGCTAAAGAGAAATCTACTGCTTACCCATAAAAGGAGGTCAGCTTGAAATGCTTTAAAGTAACTCTCCTACACACACGAGGCATGCTTGAGTATAAAAAGCAAGCATCCCGACAGGAAAATGACAGAATGGATTTGACACTAGGCTGAACATGATTTAATATTCCTTTGATGATTCAAAAGTGAGTCCAAAACCTTTAAGTGCTTTAGGGACCAAATCAGGAACCTCGATCATTGTAGGAATTAGCTGACACAATGCTAGGTAAACCAGTTTAACTACATGGGTAAACAAATTTTTTAAATGGCAGTCAGAAACAATCATTGGCTAGGAGTTCTGGGGTCTAGTACTGGCTTGGCCACAAATTCATTGTGTGAACTTGGGCAAAGCACTTCCTTTTATAATACAAATCAGCAGAAAGAAGCAAAATGTAGTTGCAAAAAAACCCTTTGTTTAGAAGGTTTATGAAATACGTGTTCCTTTCTGCTTAGCTGAGAATATACAATTCATTGAAGTGGTTCAGTCACAATCTGGCTACAGTCCACCCAGCAATTTTCTGAGAAAGAAAAGAGGGCAAAATTGTCAACTTGAGTGTCTTCAGCTAGAGAAATTTCCACATTGATCCCCTTAAACATGCTTATCTGACAAATGGCTGTCTATTTACCCAAACACTTGATATGACAGGAAATGCACAAAGGAGATTACATGTTTTAAAAGTATAGGGAAAAAATTCAAATATCTAATGCACGGCGATGTCATAAATGGCTGCCAAGATGCAGAGAGCACTAAGGGAAGGAAGAGCCCGCGAATAGCATACCAATTGTTGCTCCTTTGCCATTGCTCTAGTCCAAAGATTTTTAAAGCCCTAGCATTAAAGGCTAATGTTGTCGAAATTATAAAACATTTCCCAAACATCCAATCTTTAATAAATGCTCTGGAGAGAGAAGACTCAAGCAAGCTTGCCTGAAAGACTGGCAGTGGGACAGCGATATGGGCTGTTTTTAACACAATCACAGGCAGTATTTATTGTAGCAGTGCAGTGGCACTGGGACCGATAAGTGGAGCCAACATTTCATTGAGGGAAATAAGGACTTAAGGCCCATTTTCAACCGACCAAATGTGTAGAAATAGATAACATCCAATGCTGGTAAGGGTGCACTGCTGGCAGGAGGGAAAACTGGCACGGTGTGGGGGCAATAGTTATTATAAGCAGTGGTATGCTAGAGCTGGCTCCAACAGGCTTGGGAGAGCCAAGTGTTACTCTCTCTTCCCAACACACACACATCATGTGACTTCACATTGGCAGCTTGAAACTGGCCATGGTGGGAGTACTGATACCATAAAAATAAGCAAACACTACAAAATCAGGGCTCCCTCACCCGCCAAGAGACAGTTGTTAAACTTTTACCAGCACACCACTTCAGATTGTAAACCTTCAACTGTTTAAACTCTATAACCCAGTAATTCTACATCTAGAAATCTTTTCTAAGGAAATAATTCAAATTCTGGGAGGACAGAGGGAAGGGGGGACAGGAGGGAGAGAAGAGAGGAATTTCATGCACAAAGAAGTTCATAATATGAATTATGAGAAATACAAATGTCATAAACTTGATAAAATACACTATCATACATATCTATTAAAAAGGATATTGATGTAGAGTGTCATACTATTACACTAAAACAAAACAGTTTAGTACAATCTTAGTCTCTAAAAAATGCACAGAAAAAGACTAGAAGGACATACATAAAATGTTTACTTAAGAGAAATCCAAAAACTTAAAAGTTGGAGAGCTTTGTGAGATTTTAAAAACAGAAAGATACAGCTGGAAATAAAAATAATGAGTGGAACCACACCTAGCACAGTTCATTTATCTGCCAACATTCTGAAAATGCGCACACAGCATTGTCTAAACCAGAGGTGAGGAGCTATTCCTGAGTCCTGAATCACTTAATGGGTCCCAATTCACATTTTTCAGAAAGATGAAACAGAATAAGATAGAAAATAGAGAGCATAGCACTTAGCATTTTGTGAAAGTTCTGTCTCAGTTATACATGTACGCATATATCTCTAAAGGCACACTTAAATATGACCCTTGAGTCGTAACATAACAGGTATTTCTAACTACAGGTAACAGTCAAAGAAGTCTGGCATTCACTAATCACCAAAACAACCATAAGTCACCCATGAAATGAGGGGAAACTATGACAGATGCATTTGCTATTGAGCTTTAATTTAAAGAAAGCACCATCAGTGAACTGGTAAAACCTTCCTGGATGTTCTGGGGGCTTCTGAAGTGATAACCCTGCAAATCTCAGAACGGGCTTCTCCTGCAGGCAGACAACACCTAACTTCTTCAGGTTTTGTTTTGTTCTGTTTGTTTGTGAGGGAGATTGGCCCTGAGCTAACACCTGTTGCCAATCTTCCTCTTTTTGCTTGAGGAACACTATCACTGAGCTAACATCTGTGCCAGCCTTTCTCTACTTTGTGTGTGGGACACCACCACAGCATGGCTTGATGAGTGGTGCTAGGTCCACACCCACGATCTGACCTGTGAACCCCATGCCGCTGAAGCGGAGTGTGTGAACTCAACTACTACGCCAGCAGGCTGGCCCCTTTCTTCAGGTTTTTTGAAGAGCAAAAAGGCAAGAAAGTTTGCCTTTCTTTGGTAAAGGTAAAATTGGCTGCATGACTTGGGGGCCTCAAAATCCCATTTTTATAGAAGAGCTGGAGACTGAGGTTAATCCAAAGAAAAGAATTTTCCTCTGAAAATGAAAATTGACAAACAAATTCTAAGAAAATATAGTGGGAACAACAATAACATGAGTAAAACTTAATGAAGCCTGTTTGTAACCATCATCTCTTAATTCTCACAACCACCTACGAGGAGGAGAGCGTTATTGCTGTACGCTGTACATGAGGAGGAAATTGAGACTCAGAGGGTTCGGCTCATGAAGCTGCAGTTGGGAGCCAAGGCCGGGCCTTCCTACTCTATCACAACATGCTGTGAGCCAGGGAGGAACAAGTGGAGGCTTCTTTTTCCATTATGGGGAGCTTTCTGACTGTAGGTAAGATAACTCACATGTGAAGAGGCTCCCATTCCCTAACTTCATTTCCATTCTATTCATCTATAAAATGGGAACATGCTACTCTCTTTGTGGGGTGTTGTAAGGATGCCTGATAGCTCGTGTGAGTGACCAGCTCTGTGGTGGGCACAGAGTCAGAACTTAGAAGAAGGTAGCTGCAGCTGCCGCTGGCTAAGTGGACACTGTGTCATCTTCAAGTGCAGGTACCCACTCCCTCACAGCCAGCCGAGGCTCCAGACACGAGTGAATAGTGCTTCTGGATGCAAAGGGCCCAATCTGGCTTGGAACAGAGATGGGCCACCCCACTTCTGATGTCAGCAATCCCACACGCTCCCCCAAGGCAGGATAACTCCTGTCCTTCTCTTC